ATACCAATCTGACCCTGAGGTAAAATTCCCTCCTGACCCCAAATATGGCAGTTGGTGGACCTGCCTGAGATGTATGTATTTAACTGAATGTTTCTGCTACAGTGAGGCAAAGATTTCTTAGGGTGTTATCTTTTATTGGACCAACTGTGTAGCTGGGATAGAGTTAGACAAGCTTTCAAATGCAAAACATTCTTCATCAAGGATTGGAGGCAGATCCAGTAAAAGATACCACTCTAAGAAATCCTTGTCTCTCATAATTTCTGGACTGTCACAGCTGCATCACTCTTCTGCTAATGTGAAATAAGCAGTGAAATAATCACTTAATGTTGGGGTTTTCAACTGTTTTTAACAAGTGTACCTCTTCTGGTGGCGGCAGCTGGACACAGGGAGTGCCTCACACGTGGCAACTGCTGCTGCCACCACCACCCCACCCTGCTTTCCTGTGGCAGGTCTCATGTGGCTCTGAGGGCTGCTGACAGGTGGCGCATGATTGACCAGGTGCAAGGCCCGTCAGCAGCCCACAAAGTTGCCGGCTAGGTGGTGCCTATGCAGCCCTCGCCCCGGCCCTGCTCCTGGGAAGCAGTGGGGTGGTGACCGCCACATGCGAACCTCTCTGCGGACGGACATTGGGGGGGGGCGGCACTGCTGCTCTCACCCCCTCTTGCCCTGCTCCATCCCTGCCCACCCGCATGTACCCCTGATCACCTTTCCAAGTACCCCTAGGGATACATAGCTGCAGAGACTACTCAGTTGGTGTAATACAAGATATCACATCTACTCAAAGAACCTTGCCTGCCTATGTCCTTAGACCAACACGATTACAACCAAAACCCAGGCTACTTCAAATCACGTGTGGAACTCCTGTACTTTATGTACACTGTCGGAACAAGAGAGTGAGTGTGCAGGCTTGCAACATATCTACACTGGTTTATGTTCCTCTTACGTTGGTATAAATGTGGAATGGTGGGTTCATGCCACCATAATACTCCACTCTCAGTTCACTCCACTCTGGGGAGAAGTTACCCTTTGGAAAGTTAGGACTAACTGTAGTTGTGTGAGTTAGGCTGGGCCAGAGATGGGTCCATAGCTATAATCAATTTCATCAGCTCTAGCTGATTTAATCCAAGACTAGTTTTTTGCTCAGTGCAAGAAAAACTCTGCTATTGACTCCTTGTTATCTTGTGGTGAGGTGCTGTTATGTTATTGTGGCTATGGAGGGCAGCTACCCAAGACAAATTAGTCCTGTCTCTGCTCTGGACATTGTAAATGACACCAGTGTATGTGTTGCATTGTCTATACACTGATTCTTCTTCATCAAACACCCTGGAGTTTAGGATAAGTTGTTTTCACTTGGTTGATTGTTCTTTTCCACTCTGCTGTTAATATTTCTGGGCCCACTGAGCCATATTGATCAAGTATCTGTAACATACCCTGTACTTAGGGCATTAGCTCATTCTATATCTCCCGTTTGCAAAAATGATCTAATGCTATGCAAAGTTGATAGTCAATTCAAACTTCTATATTTCCAGTTTTCATTATCTCTGTGGTTTCTTAAAAACAGAAATTGTTTTTTTATAAATACAGTGATACTTTAAGAAGTATCGCTCTGAGGGAGATGGAGAGAGAAGAGAACTACCCTGATGAACTGAACAGTTGGGTATATGTTGGTGTGTATATAATCTATACCAAGAAATCTTACTTCTGAGTCCCAGGAATGAAAGTGCTGAATATTGGGGGGGGGGTGTTTCTCCCCACCCTTTTTTTTTTTTTTTGGAACAGCGCAGTAGTAAATTATTACCAGTGTTATATTCAAATTAACTCTAACCCTACTAGTTTTAGAGTACTTAGGTAATGTATAATAAATTCTGCTATAGCACAGCAAGGACTTTTTCTAATTTTATAACTTTATTACTAATTTCTGGCTTACTACTGTTTCTAAGTGCTAGTTTCTGGCTGGCATGATTTTTTTGCTTGTATTTAATCTTCAGGAATTAAACAATTTTTTTCCTTTTAATTCTTTTAGCTGCTTATACTAGGTACTTTTAAGTTAGGCTCCTTTTTAAGACTATTTTTTTCAGCGTCTTTGAGAACTAAGCTATTGTCGGTTTTGTGTATGACTATAGATTTAGGAATTTATCATAAGCTTCCATATTTGAACATTAGCATCTGATGAAGTAGACTGTTGCCTGTGAACGCATATGCCTCTCTGAATGAGTTAGCTTTTAATGCTATCCCACCCTGCCTTCTGCCACTTCTGAACATTGTTGTCATACTGTATTGCAATAATATCCAACCTTTTTGGC